CAGCCTCTTGTTCCGGGTGCCGCCTCCAGTGCCCCTGCCCTCCTGGGGCAGGCCAGGCAGCTGTCTGCAGCCATGCTCTGGCCCGGGGGGGTCCCCAGAGAAGGCAGGCAGTGGCCTGCCCTGGGTTTCGGGGGTCACTGGCTCCTGAGGGCCCCATGAGGGGAGATAGTGGCCCAGCAATTGAGCCTCGAGGCCCGGCGTGCTCCCAGCTGAGCCCTTGGCAGGTGTCCTGTTTGACCTTCCCACCACACTTGTGAGGTCACATGCCGGAGGGACCAGGGCAGAGAGGTCCCCGCCCCCCCCAGGGCTGGGGCAGGGTTAGGCCTCGATGCCTGGCCACCGGAGTTCAGAGCACATGCCCCCACTGGGTGTGGCCTGGGGCCACCCTGAGGCGAAGCTCAGGGGTGAGGATGTGGCCGGCTTCCCTGGGCTCACCCTTGGACAGGACAGCACAGAGTTCCCGGGGCAGCAGGCCACCCGCTGGCGGGCCCACGCCTGGATTTCGTGTGACAGGACGGCCTGCCAGTCCCTGGCTAAGGTGGAGCAGGCTGTTACAACACAGCCGCTGTGCTTCTTGGGGAATGACTCACCCCCTCCCCCCCCACAGCTCCTGTTTCCTTTGTGGATGGGGTGGGGGTGGGGGTGGGGCACCCCCCTCAAAGTGCTGAAAGCTTTCTTCAGTACTGTTGACACCGGAGGAGATCGTGGCTGTCACTGAAGGTCGGGGTTGAACTGCCCCTGTGGGTCTCCGAGGGTGGAATAGGAGCTGATCGCCAGGTCAGGTCTCCCGGGGAGGAGCTGACGGTGGGATCGAAAGCCTGACCTCTCCGCCGGCAGCCAGCGCCCGGCCATGGGTCACCAGGGCTCCTTCGAGTGCACATGCAGCCCACACCTCTCAAGAGTCACCATCAGGGGCGAGTCTGCTGGCCTTTCCAGTGGTGTGAAGAGCTGCCGAGGGTCCCACAGCTGGGAGCCAGGGTCAGAACCTGGGGTGTCAGCTCTCAAACCCTGGAGCCAACTCCAGGCCCTGGTAGCAGGCACGGGTTGGAGGAGAGAAGCTGGGGGGTCCTCCTAGATCAGGGTGGAAGAGCGAGGTGTTGGTGAGGGCAGAGCTCATTAACCAAGGGCAGCACTGCTTGGAGAATGCCCCACCTGCCCCACCCGCTCCATGAGAGCGGTTTGTGTCTGGACCCAGTCAGGAGGGAGCTTCTCCCAGGGGCTCTGCGCCATTGTAGCAGTCTCCTGACAGAGTGGAACTGCCCCCTATAGGCTCCCTAGCTCCCCGCACCCCCGAAAGCCAGGTCTCTTCTGGGGAGTTCGAACTGCCCATCTTTTGGTTAACAGCCAACAGCTGACCCATCGCCCCTGCCCCCTGGCTCTTCTGAATCTTCTTCAGTGGCCCCACTTGTGTGAGCAGGGAGGGCCTGCTGCATCTCCACAGCCGACATGCTTGTCCAGGCCGTCTCTCAACAGCGGGCCGGAAAGGGCTGTGGGCAGGGCTGGGTGGACAAACGAAGCCTGGCTTGCTCCCTTCCAGGTCGCAGGATCGTCTGTTTGGTGGGGGCCGGAATCTCCACGTGTAAGTGTGCCTCCCCTCCCCCTTTGGGGAGCCCCTCCCTGTCTTGGGCCTCGTGGGGGGCGGGTTAGCGGGGCACACTGGGCCAGCCATCGCTGAGACCTTGTCTGCCCCTCGGGCCTTGCAGCCGCCGGCATCCCCGACTTCCGATCGCCATCCACCGGCCTCTATGCCAACCTGGAGAAGTACCACCTCCCCTACCCGGAGGCCATCTTTGAGATCGGCTACTTCAAGGTATGGGCTCACCCAGGGGAGACTGTCTCCACTGCTTATGGTGGAGGGAATCCCCCCCTCTCCCCACCTCCCGGCCCCAGCCCTCCCCTCACTGGGCCACCCCTCTGCCCCCGCAGAAACATCCGGAACCCTTCTTTGCCCTCGCCAAGGAGCTCTATCCTGGGCAGTTTAAGGTGAGATGCGTGCGTGGAGGGGAACGGGCATGGGGGGGTTAGAACAGGCATGGGGAGCCCCCCGCCCTCAGCCTCGGGGGCCTCCAAAATGGAATGGAAAGATCTTGCAGGTTTTCCACGAACTTGTCAAAGCCCCCCCACCCCACAGCTCCGGGCTTTGTAGCCGTGAGCCCCAGCCTCCTCCCCATGAAAGGCATGGGTGGGGGGCCCCTGTGAGGCTCCCGGCAGTGAGTCCGGCTGCTTGGGGGCGCAGCACAATTCTGCCCTTGGCCATCCCGGGGGACCCCCGGCTCGGCCATCCCGCGCCCCGGCCTCCATTTCCCCATCCTTGAAATGGGGAGCGGTCGCGGGGCGTCCCGTCAGCACGGCCCTGTCGTCCCCGCAGCCCACCGTCTGCCATTACTTCATCCGCCTGCTGAAGGAGAAGGGCCTGCTCCTGCGCTGCTACACGCAGGTAGGCGGGGCGCACGCACGCGGGGCGGAGCCTGGGAGGAGCCACGCCCCCTTCGGCCTCGGTTTCCCTGGGCTCCTGGAACACAGGCCCAGACAGCTCTGCCCTGTGTGCGGTGGCAGGTAACCTTCACCAGGGCCACCTCGGTTCAGCTGGCTAAGGTGGCCGCCCCGCACTGGGCCCGGGGACGCAGTATCTTAGAAAGAGGGTGCCATCCGCAGGCCAGGGCTCCCCCATGCCACGTGCTCAGCCAGGGGCCTCTCCCACGGGGTCCCCAGGCAATAGGGGGGGTCCATAGATAAGACGGGGAGATAACAGGCGGAAGGCAGGAGCAGTTACAATGTTTCTGCACCTGCCGGTGCTTCGGACCCTGCAGTCTCGGGAGCCGCCAGCAGGGGTCGCGCGGAACTCTTCGAATGGGCGCAGGGTGCTGGGGCCTGGGGCAGAGGGTGAGGGTGAGGGTGAGCTGGGAGGGAGCCCAGCCTGGGCAGACCTGCTTCTTCCGCGGCGCAAACGGGACTCAGCCCCAGCGGTGACGCCAAGTGCTCATCCCTGGTCTGATTCCACAATGTCCTCCCCACGCCCACCCACCCCCGCCAGCCTCTGGCTCACTGCCTTGTTGCCCTCTTAGGGCTCTGCTGGGGGTAGGGGGACATGGTCAAGATGGATTAAGGAGCCCATGCAGGATGTCCCATGGCCCTCAGCTACACAGGAAAGGCACTGTGTGAGGGGGGTGGGGGGGGTGCTGGAATTTTCTAGAAGGTACTCAAGGGAAGGCCTCACCGAGAAGGTGGGCCTCTAAGACCTGGAGGAAGCAAGGGAAGGAATGGTGGCGTTGTCTAGTGGGAACATGTTCTACAGTGAGCGACAGCCAGTGCAAAGGCCCTGAGGTGGGCGGTGGTTGCAGACTGGAAGAATCCCCGGGAGCTGTATCCCAGAGAGGAAGGAGGAGGGGTGTAGTAAAGGAGAGGAGGGCAAGAGGGTGATGGAGGTAAGCCGGGTGGGGCCTTGTGGCCCCAGGGAGGACTTTGAGTCAGTGGAACCACAGGAGGGTTCTGAGCGGGAGAGGGGGGGTGTCATGTCCTGGTTCGGGCGCTCCAGGCTCCCCTGGGAACAGGGAACCGAGTGCTGAGACTGCCAGGATGGCCATGCAGGTTCTGACAGGGTCAGAAAGGGGTGGCAGGGAAGGAGTGGGGGCTTTTCTGATCTGTGGTGAAGGTGGCAGCAACAGGACTTGCTCATGGATTGGCTGTGGAGGAAGAGCAACATGCAGGAAGGCTCAGTGGGATTTCCCAGGAGCACCCACGGCTTTTTATGAAGATGGCGGGCAATGTGGGGGCGGGGCGGGGTTATCAACAATAGTAAAGTGAAACATAAAAAAAACCTCATACTTACCTGGCAGGGGAGACACCATGATCACCAAGGTGGTTTCCCAGGGCGAGGCTCACCCATTGCACTACGGACGTGCTGATCCCTGCGATGGTCCCAAATGTGGGAAACTCGCCTGCATCATTTGTGGTCGTGGGGGACTGCATTCGCGCTCTCCCCTTTTAAAAAAAAAAAAAAAAACCTCACTCGAAAAGAAAGCAGAAAATATTGAAAACAAGAATCCGTTTACGGACAATCAAACGGTGGGCGCTGCATTGTGGGTAGGTGTCTGTGCGTTCAGAGGACAGTGGCCCTACAGCACAATGGCTTCTGAAAATACACATTAGAAGTCTGACATGCATTTTTATTATTCTAATGCTTGTGAGATTACACGTGGACACAAAACATAAGCACATGCTTTACAGTAGGAGTACAGGCAGTCCCCTGATTGTGAACACGCTCCGTGCCTCAGTCTGTCTTTCAGTCGAAGGTGTACATTGAGAGAGCAATGAGGTATGATTCCTATTGAACTGTCAGTTAGTCAAATGCTTAAGGAGCCCTGCCTGGTGGCATAGTGGTTAGTCATTGTTCTGCGATCCGCAAGGTCAGCAGTGCGAAACCACCAGGTGCTCCATAGAAGACAGACTGGGCTTTCTACTCCCGTAAAGAGTTTTTCTCGGAAACCCACAGGGACAGTTGGACCCTGTCCTCTAGGGTCCCTGTGGGTTGGTATTTGGTTTGGTCTGGGAGATCAAATACTTTGGGGAACCTACGGTAGATAATGTACCTCTCCATGTGGTTCGATGAGTCAGAATTAACTCAACGGATGACAGCAAGTTTGAGAGTTTTTTTCTTTTTTTTTAAATCATTTTATTGGGGGCTGTTACAGCTCTTATCACAATCCTTACATACATCCATTGTGTCAAGCACATTTGTACATTTGTTGCCCTCATCATTCTCAAAACATTTGCTTTCTACTTGAGCCCTTGGTCTCAGCTCC